AATATGGCTCGATATTGTTCAATCTTGCATCTTAGACGAATAAAACGCTCTACTTCGTCGATCAATTATTCTAACTCGTCTTCTCGTGAACGAGTGCTTGGCATACAACCAATTAATAATAAGGAAGAAGTTGCCTTAGTCTATACGGTGTGTAACACCCTTTTAAACCCAACGAATAATTTAGCGCATAAATCAATAATTAAATCAGAATAAATCATCGACAAGAGTGTCACATGCTTCATAAAAACATTCTTATCACACATCCTGCTCCGTAACACAGGTTTCAAATAATTATAAAGTTCATCTTAATAACTCCACCTATAATTGAAACTTCACAGCGAAATCTTAGTATCAATGTGACTTCATAATTTTCATCAAAGGACTTCAAGGCCTTTTATCATAATCAAAAATCAACATAGAACAAATCATCGTGTAACAAACTCTTAAAAACGTGTTCTTAAATCAATAACGACTTCAGAAAACCAACATTCCCAAACCCTGATGTTACGTAGCAGAGCAAGACCCTTTTAATTCATGGAAATAAGATAAATTGACTCCAAAGATAAATTTTCACACGTCAATGAGCTAACCTTGACCACATGCACATTATCCATGTAGAGGTGGCATTCGAACAGGCAGGGTGAGTAATCACAAATCATTACAAAAGATATAAGAAATAAATATAGTAGTTACAATAACAATTATCCACACTTCATATATCCATCACACATCACACACATACTCACATTGTCACTTCATTAAGTCATTCACAGCGTTATTACGTCATCAATAAATCATCATCGTCAAATTATCACTTATGTCACAACATCATTGAAATATTTATTAACTCATATTTATGCAATATCACTTGGTATGTAATGCAACAAAACGACTCATGCATGTGATACCAACACATCTCCCTCCAAAGATCCCCACCATAGGATAGATTCTCACTCGGAACTGAAGCATATCATAAAACGCATTCAATCCACACAATGGTATTGAGGTCATCACTGGACCGGAGTCCTAACATCGTCACTGAACCGAACTCCTAACATTGTCACTGGACCTAAGTCCTAACATCGTCACGGAACCGAAGTCCTAACATATCCTATGAGTGCATGATGCAATACGTCACAATAAACACGACCAAGGTTAGTCAAATTTGCATCATCATTCATGTAATCGTCATAGTATATCCCTCATAATCAGTCACACTCCATCATAGCATCATTATTAGAAATACATCATATTAATCATTTCACTTCATGTGAGACAATACAATAACACACAACAAGATGTTTTCCCAATTTACCCTCACTAATACTTCTATAATGACTACCTTGCCCTCGATGTTTTCCCTCATTTTATTTTAATTAATAATAATAGTCTAAATAACATAATCTATATTATTCTATTATCATTAACTCTAAAATAATTTTAATTAATTATTTAATTTCTAAATAATCCTATTATTCTATTAACTCATCATCACCCCACAACACACAACAAGAACACACCGTGCATAATAATTCACCAAAATTCACTGATAGTCATAAATAATTTAACAAATATTAAAATATAAATATCGGGGTGTTACACGACGCAACAATGGAGTTACAATATTGACTAAATTGGTCCTTGACAACGGCGGAAAAAACTTGATGTGTTGTGTGTGGTTAGCTCATTCGCAAGTGCACGAATTTTATCAAAGTAATACAAAAGACGTCGAACTCATAGAGACCAATAGGATAAATTTGTTTTTTAGGATAAATTTGTTTTTAGGAGAAGGGAAATTAAAACTAGAAAAAAAAAAGTTTGTTTAAGAAAATATTAATAAAAGCGAGACCGGAATGTAATTTCCATTGCACCTTTGGCACAGATGAATTTTGGCGTTTGTTTTGGTTTTAAAATATTTTTTGAAGGAAATATTAATTTAAAAACAATTCTCACTTTCGCGCAGTCCGTGTTATGTTTCGAAACCGTAAAGGCTTTGGTGTCGCTCCACAAGTTACAATTTTAAAACAATTTTTGAAAACTGATAAGTCCTAATTAATTATTAAAGCACTGTCGCTATTTTTAGAAGTTAAAGATCCAATTTTGATTGATCTGGTATTGATCTCACAGTGTCGCGCTGTTGACAAGTACCTAAGTGCTTTCGCTTTCGCGCAAAAAAATTAACTTTAAAATTAAAAATTCATAATCGAAAAAATAAATTAATGTTAAAATTCAACGCTGATTAAATTTACCAAGTCTCGTTAGAATGACGGTCCTCACATTCTGGACTCTAAGAGTCTAGTTGGACAGGTTTAACATAATACTCATGTTATATTTATCATGTGTGCAAAATAGAAATTCAAACATAATTATTGATGATGATATGAAATAGTAACAACAACTAACAAAATATATATATATATATATATATATATATATATATATATATATATATATATATATATATATATATATATATATATATATATATATATATATATATATATATGAAATTTAAAATTAAAACAGTAACCATTGGAATCCATTAAACAATTAAAACAACATTAATAATATTAAGACTTAAAAGTAAATAAGTGCAGAAAAATTAAAAAGGAAAAATGTTTATTGAAAATAATGCAATGCGGAAATTGAAAATTGGAAATAGCATCTGATCCATGTACAAGCAGGGAACTCAGAATTCTAAAAACAATGGTGTATTTATTGTTCGGTGTGAACAATTAAGCACTTTATCACAGTAAATTTATCAGCCTACTTAATACTAGAAAATTTAGATGGTAAAAACCTAAAAGTTAAGCCTATGTATAGTGTTTCAACTGCTGAAATAGGGTTAAATTCGTGAAGAGCTTAGTTGAGAAAAGTATGTGGAAGTGTGAAAAGACCAAGTAATTATGTTGTTGAAAAACTAGGCACGAAGTCCATGGCGAACGTCATGAGTTCAATACGGGGAACGTGGCTGGCAAGGGGCCATGACGAACGTCGTGCCCCTGTGGCGAACGACACAAGCTAAAAACGTCATCCTTTGACTTGCTTAATGTTAAGGTGTCATTTTCTCCACTTTTGACCAATTTTGCTTCATTTTCTCTTGTGTCAACTCCTACATGGGAAATATCTGCAACACAAACAAAATACCAACATAACACTACATACAAACATAAAATAGATATAAAACAGATAAAATTACATGTGTATCGAGTCGAAAAATACTATAAGTTTCATAGTTATCCGTTTCACTAAAAGTCAGTTCGACCACTGTGTTTACTTCATATTTCAACCTGAAAATTAACTTGTTATTTTGTTGCTTCATGTGGATGACATCACATGGGAAATATCTGCAACACAAACAAAATACCAACATAACACTACATACAAACATAAAATAGATATAAAACAGATAAAATTACATGTGTATCGAGTCGAAAAATACTATAAGTTTCATAGTTATCTGTTTCACTAGAAGTCAGTTCGACCACTGTGTTTACTTCATATTTCAACCTGAAAATTAACTTGTTATTTTGTTGCTTCATGTGGATGACATCCTCGTAGCAACCAACATTATCAAAGATATTATGAATGTGAAGGTTGAACTCGATTAGGAGTTCAACATGAAGGATTTGGAGCTGCCGGATGTAGCAACCAGAGTTCTTGGATTTGACATCAGGAGAGATAGAAAGCAGTCAAGATTATATTTATCTCAAGAGACATACCTAAATAAGATTTTCAACAACTTTGATATGTCAAATTCAAAGTTGAAAGAAATTAATTGTTGTTATTCACTTGTAATTTTTAAACTCTTATTGAAAATTGAAAAAATAAATAGTAAAACAGTTTTAACCATTTTTTCCTTCTTTCTTCTCTCTTTTATAAACCCAATATGATTTCTTGTATTTGTTTAAAAAATCCAATCTTTATCTCATAACTTTGTTCTCTCTTTTATAAACGTAATACGATTTCTTGTGTATGTTAAAAAAAATTCAATCTTTTATCTCATAACTTTGTTCTGATGTTGACAACACCGTTTCATAACACACATCCCAAAGCATTTCTACCGTAAAAACAAAGAAGCTACCTTTTGTAGCTTTCACATTAACGTGACCTGCAACACGGTTTTGGCAAACGTGCTATATCAAACAGATACTACAAAAGGCATGCAGAAACAACAAGATTCCATAAATTATATGGAACCAAACAGACTTATTGTATGTTTGGTTTGGCAAACTTATTGACTATTGCACCAATTTGGATGTGAAAACATAGAAGCGACTAGTTATAACTTTTGGCCAGACGCACGTTTCAAATCCAACGTAAAAGCAAACACTCATTTAATGTACTGCTATTCAGTAGCTCAAACAACTCATAGTTGGAGCACTTGATTCAAAATTCAAAACAAAAGTGAAAATATATATATAAACGAATCGGAATCTACTGTCAGTGTCACCTCATTGATTCCAATGACATACAAACCACACTTTAAGATCTTTACATTTACATGTAATAACACTTCCCATTTCACAACCTCAAGTTACACCAAAACTACAAGAGCAACAAAAGAAAAAGTGCAATGCTAAAACAAACACATGATGAACCTTTTCTTTCCATACCCTTCAATATTTATCTATACACCTGTTATAAATCACTACACAACTTCCGGCCATCGCGCTAAAAAAACGAATGCATGCATGTCATCTGAGAGTGAAGTAAAAAACATCCGAAGATAACTGCGCCAACACATGATACACTATATGTCGGTCAACACCAGAAAACAGTTATGATTTTCACTACCTAAACACTCATTTCCCTTCAAAATGGTTTTATATATGAAACTTTCATATATGTGATGTAAAACAGAAACAGTTAGAAAATGTTAAGACCACCTGAAATCTTGGAATGGATTTGATGTTTGGTCATGGCAAGCATTACTGTACTTGCTCTCAACACATCCATACTTGAAAGAAACCATGTAACAAGTGATTGATTTCATACTATTAGGCCTTCTGGGGTAAAGAGTTGTAACCTAACATGTCATCAATGGCATTGGATGAAGACGCATTGCCCTTCATCGTTTGCTCTAGAAGACGAACGAGTGACATAAATATTTCCATCCTCGTTACGTCCCTGTTTGCCTACAAATCCAACCAGCGTGTATTTTAGTGAGTTGTCAATTAGTACTGAAACATTAATGTGACAATGTTTTGTTCGGTTTTTATGAAGTATTACCTCAACAACAAATCGTGCCCAGATTTTGTCATTGTGAGCTTCCATTACCCCTTTCAAGATGGTTAAGCCTAATCCTTTGATTAAGTCGGCAATTTCCAGAAAGAAACCTCGTTCCTCACAAAGCATCTGTAAGAATAACCAAGCAAACCGATTATAGAGGCGATGAAGAAGAGATATATGTTAGGACCAAAGAACTTCATATATCTATAAAGCATCATCTTTACCTCCACTAACATCTGACGGGGAGTATTCAAGTCTTCGACTATAATCGGACAAACCATTGATTGGGAACCAACCTCATATGCCCATGTAGCTCCTCCCTCAAAGTTATCTTTCAAAACCAGTCCACCTTCCTTACTAATAATCTACATGATGCAAAAATAAGTCGTTATAGAGTTTCCATATCCATATACCATAACTAGATAAATTTCGAAAGACATGAGACACGAGAGTGAATGTTCCCATACCTTAGACTCCCCGGTCTTTTTCAGCTTGTCCGCATGCTTTGTCACGCTTTGCAAGAAAAGCATATGCTTAATAGTTCGTTCCAGCAGTGCATCTATGCTACACTGTTAAATCGTAACAAATAGATGAAACAAAAATAATCAATACCCAAATATATTCAATTTCTTTTGAAAAATCTGGAATGAGTTAAGATATAAGAGAGGAAATTACTTTTGATCCATTTGGAACAATCTCTCGTAATTCTTTGACACGATCTTGAATCATTTGACGATCTTTAGGTCGAGGCCTTGGATTCTCTCCTGGTTTAAGCCTTTTGCGATTAGATTTGCAAGCTTCATTCGGGCGCTTAGAGTATCCAGTTGAAACACTATTTTCCCCCTTCAGATTGCCACCATTCTCCAACCATGAACTAAGTTGAGAACCACATAAAGTCGTAGTTTGAGAACAGTTTCCAGCATCGTCCTTGCTACAACCAGATCTTAGAGAACTAGTTTCTAAAGCACCGATTTTACTTCCATTCTTAGATATATCAAACAACCCCCCTTGGAAATTACTAGACATAAACTTCCTATGGAGAGGAGAGGGAATGGAGGCGGTACTATTCCCAGTCAATGTTGTTCTGCAAGACAAGTCATCGGAATTCTGTTTCAAAGTAGGTTTGGTCTTTGAGACCACGGCATCCAAGAGGTTGTCTGTTGACATCCCAGAGAAAATGCCACTGTCCGACATTGATTTGTTACCTAAATAATAATCAGAATTTGTGCCCTCTGTGTTCAAACATGTTTCCTTTTTAACCATATTTTCAGCATTACATTCTGGTTCATCAGCAAACAGTTCATTCCAGTGTCCTTTCAGAAGTTCGTTTTTAAAATCGACACCTAAAATATCAAACAAGTCATCGCCACCTGATGAATGTTGAGCAGAAGCTTCTTCGTGTTTAGGATTCATCGCAGATTGACCAGTACCGTCTTTTTGAATGCAATCACGGACAAAACCTGTGATATGACGACTATTTGGCACATACTGCTCAACGTTAAAACCAGGAATGTTAGGAGTCTGAAGGATGTTATAGTCTATCTTTTGATCTGTTGAAGAAAACTTAGAAACTTCGGGAAGAATTTTCTGATCAGAACATTCTTGAGTCCTCAAAAGACTATTCATTCCACCATGTACCGGGATTCCTCTTAGTAATGAAGTACTGCTAGAACTCATATTATGGCTTCTATCTGTTTTTAGTTGAGAAATGTTTACGGAACTTGACACGTTAACACGGGGATTAACGTAATCACTCAGCCCTGATTGGCCAAACGGCACAGAACCAGCTAAGTTATTGAATTCAGATCTTGTATTATATGAAACGGAATGCTGGTGCAGGCTTGAATCAAAATTTGAAGGTATTACTTCAGCCACGACAACCCTGTCCTGACGATTATTATTTTCGCCCCTTAAAGGACAAAGTGAGTGAGATGAATAACTTCGGTGATTGGAGCCATTAACTACGGAAGGAGCGGAATTCGAGGTAATGACTGACAAATCAACAGGCACAGGCACACCAGAAGTAGCACGTCCATCAAGTCTTTCATTTGAAAATTTAGTCGAATAGTCCTCGGATAGAAGGGCATTAGGAATACACCCGAGTTGCAAAATAAGGCTCTTTACTTCATGGACAAACCCCATATTCTCCATTATCTGTACCATTAACACTACTGTTTAGTTGAGGAATAACGGGATAACATTCATGAGATTAATAATACTCGAATGACAAAACAAAAACCTAGCTAGACAAACTGACTAAAATTGTCATCGGGGAATCACATAATGACATCACTCAAGTCTAGGACTATTCATAGTTCGTTTCATGAAGGAAAACTGAACCAAACTGCTAATGGTTTTTTCCAAACCGGAACTACCAACAGAAAACCAATTTACACCTTTTTCAAACCAAACTTACAGAAGAAGAGAAATTGTAAAAAATAAAAAAGGGACTTACAGGCAAGCAAGAACCAAGTTGAACAACCCCATGAGGAAGCACTGGAATAACTGCTACTGTCTGCAAAAACAATACAATACAGAAATTACAAAACCGCAATGAAAAACCTAGAACAAAAAGTAGAGCAACATAAAAAATCACAAACCTGCATTCCAGCTGAAAATTGGAGATGCATTTCAGCATACACCTAAAAAAAGCACACATATAAGAAACCAAAACGATGTTCAGAAGAAACTTAATGATAATCACAACACTCATATTACACAGAAGAAACATTGCATCCATTCAAGAGAATCACAACAAAAAAAGTTTCATACCTCAGGTGGATATGCATCTTTAGCGAAATTATTCAAGAGAATCCACTCATGACTATTGGTAAATGCGGCGCGTCCAATTATACTGAATAACAGCAAAAAGCGGGCCGTGAGTACAAATAGAACAACATAAAAACAGATGAAAATAGGTGAAAGCAGGACGAAGCACCTACCCTTCACCTGCTACGACGACTAAATTATTAACTGTCAATTTGTTAATCAAAGAAGATACTCTATCCTCCTCTTGAATTCCTAGAGGAGCCGATTGAAACTCAGAAGAAAACCAACATCCTTCCTCATTCGGATTACGCACATTAGACATCCCAACAATACCATGCGTGGAAGGACGTGAAAATGGTTCATGATAACATTCTTCCCAAATCAATAACCTGCCAAATCAAACCATGCTTAATAAAAGATCGATAAGAACAATAGTGGTTAGTATGACAGAGATGGACCACAGATCAAATCATGATTAGCTGAAGAAAAAAAGCTCAGCATTTTGTAACTGGAAAATAAGTCCAAATAAAATCAAACAGGAAAGACAAATTCTGAATCCGCAGAATCCTTTACAGAATCACATACAATTATTTCCAATAAACAAATATAAGATTCTTGAAGACAAAACAGAAGATTTCAAACCACAAAATTCCAAAGTAAAAACGAATATTCAGCACAGTACTAATACAAATCAAGTCCAAGGAAGCAGTGACTAATCAATAACACCTCTCAAACCGACAATCATATCTAGTAAACAAATCAACCACAGAAATAGAATCTAATGTGAATATTAATTTAGTATTATTGTAATTTCATCAAATTCAATGTGAATCCAAACATGCATGTATAATCATTAACATTCAATCAAAAGCTAATTTGTATAACAACTAAATCTTCACTCCCAAAACATTCCAATTACCCTTAATTAGAAGAACATCTCAGAAACATAACACTGTAAAAACACTTAAATATTGAAAATTTAGTATGAATCACTCTTCAAACTTACTTAGAATTGTTGCAACCAATCTTCCAGAAAACAGCATAAGACCACTGATTCCTACCGCACAAAGTCTTCAAAACTTCTTTCAACAAAAAACCCATCTTGGAAATTCTCAAAAAAAAGCACTTTTCTCAGACCTAATTGAAGTAACAATAGCACTCAATCACCAACAGAAGAAAAAAACCAAAAGGGTAAGAGTCAAAGTTGTTGACCATGCATTTTCCAAACCCTAACTACCACGGCAGGATCCTCTTCCAGCTTGTTTGGTTCTCAACCCTCCACTTCTCTTTCTGTTTGGATCCAAGTTAACGGTGTTAAGTTTCCGGCATGCCATTCTCCGGATGAACAAATTCTAGAGAGAGAAAGTAAAGTAAAGAGCTTTTTTTTCTACACTATGCCACGAGATTCGAGTTTGTTGAGAGACACTACAATCTTGCCCATTTGAAAAAGGAGAGAACTTTGGAAAGATGACTGGGTTATAGAGAAATAGGAGTTGTTGGGTCTGTGTAAGGTGTTGAGGTGAGAGAGATTTTGTGTGTTTTGTTCTGTGTGTCGCTTGAAGATGAAGGGAACTTAAACCAGCTTCTTTAACTTGTGTGTGAGTGTGGAAGTAGAACTGAGAGAGAGAGAGAGAGAGAGAGAGAGAGAGAGAGAGAGAGAGAGAGAGAAGGGTTTAGGGGAATATTAGAGGGAGAGGCACTTGAAGAGGTTGGTTTTGTCGGGTTGTGAAACAGTGTCAGGAGTGAGAGAGAGAGAAAAAGAGTTGTGTTTTGTTTTGCTTTGTTTTTGTTTGGTGAATGATAGAAATGTAGAATGAGAGAGAGTGTGAAAAATGTGAAGAGAGGTGGAAGTGGGGTTGGGGAGTGAGGAAAAAGAGTAGTGGCCATGAAATGATATGAAATGATACTACATGGTCCTGTTTTAGTGCTGATTACTGTCATGCTTATGTCATGAATAGTAGTACAATTTTAACCATGGTAAAGAAGAAAGGTTTCATTGTGTTTTGAGATTATACTTTGTGTATTGAACATGAATACTCATTGGATATGATTGATAATTGAGGTGGGGAAATGATTATGTAAAGGGGGCTCTTTACACTGTCCCATTTGCTGCCCTTCCCTGGCCAAAATTGTTGTATAATTGGATTATTGTACCAAATTGTTTGCGAATGTGAGATAAAGAATGTTAACATTAGAAATGTCTCTTTTATTGGATAGAAATTTGATTACTACCTTAAGATCAAATATTAGATTAAACACAACATCATAGAGATTTTATATTTTCACATCTTCAAAATTATCATTTTACACTTTTAAGTTTATTTATTTGATTTAATATTGTCTAACATTTTCAACTGAAATTTGATATATTTGATTGTTGAGATTTTCGGTATTTTCAACTGAAATTTAATATGTTTGTGATCCGCGGTCACTCACGGATCAAAAACGAGTAATTTTAGGAAAATGTAGTACAGCGACAGTGACTCGGAATATCGTCTCACAAGGATTCTTGCAGGAATAATCAAATACAGTAACGAATTATGGGGGATTTTGATTAAGATAAAATAAACGAAAAATAAGTGATTAGAAAAAGTGATTGTAGTAATGAGTTGAAACGGCTAATCTACTGTTTTCGTTTCCCAACTTATCATCGATCCTAATAATTCCCAATTCCTAAGCGGATTCTATCCCCTTTCCGATTATAATAACAATCAACAAGCGCAATTGATATTATACGATATACGTTCCTAATTTCTGAATTAAACAAACAGATAAAATAGTAACCGTGAATTAAACAAACACGAGAAACATACGCGGATTAAGCAACCGCGATTAAAGTATAAGAACATGCAATCATCGAAATAAATCAATCATCCCTAAGATAAATCGAATTAAGCAAACAAAATATCATAGAGAAGAATGGAAAGGAAATAGATTTTATTGGAAATTAAAAGAACCTCAAAGTGTTGGCGGGAACCGATTACAGCAGATTAATCCGAAGGAATTAGTTCTCCATAATTCATACAAAGCTCCAACAAATATTTTCGTGAAATGTGAATCGGGTGAACAGTAACACGAGTTCTCCTTAAAAAGGCAAACAATGGATCCGGTTCAAAACCCAACTAGGTCAAAAACATAACCCAGACTCAAAACAAGATCAAAACTAAAACAGAATTCTAATGCTGTAACTTGAAACGAAATTCTAGAATTTTGAGCTCCGAATCTGACTTCGACTCCAACACAAAAGTCGTAGCTCTCTCTCTTAGCTTTCCGGTGATTTTTAGAACGCCTCAAACGGATTCCCGGAACTCCAGTTATGATCATTTCCGTGCAGACTGCTAAAGCTGAAAAATAAAGTGCGAAAATCAAATTAAACTAAAAATAAAATAAAATGTAAAAACATAATAAAACATAAAAATAATCAAAATAAAGTAAAGAAATGCCTAAGTAAAAATATAGGAGAATGTGCATAAATATGCACTGATCAGTTTGACTGTTGAGAGTTTTGGTATTTTGTTTTCTTGTTTATATATCATTGTCAAAAATTGTTTGTAGAGTTCTCATCAACAAAATTATTTGACGATATTACTTGCACAGTATAGAGAACCACATTTATTTTTAAGATTCATTTTTCATCTCATACAACAGTGCAACATTCCATTGATGGAATCATTCTCCTGAAGTTAATCGAAGGGGATAATGACTTGATGATATCCCCTTTCACGTTGACAAAAATTTAGGAGATGGATAACTTTTGCAAAGGTTATAAGAGTCTTAGTTTGGATGGATGGAATGTTTTTTTCATCAACTAACTTTGGGACAATTTTTTAAAGAGGGATTTAGATTGTTATTTGATCAATTTTATGGTAACGTTAGGCTACTAAGGTGTTTGATATCATATTTTCTTAAAGTGGTACCTAAATTCAAATCAATGTAGGGTTTGGATGGTTTTCTGATCAATTATTTGTTTGGTTATTTGTATAAGTTTATCTCTAAGGTATTTGGCAAGAAGATTGGCAAAGATTATTGATATGTTGGTAGAGAAGACATGCTACTTTTATTAAAATGACAAATTGTAAATAGGGTGTTTGTGGTGAATGAAGTGGTAGATTATTAAAGGAAAACATGTAGAAGTTGTATATAGGTAAAACATGTAAGAGTGGTAAGGAAAACATGTAACACTTGTAGATATGGAATAATTTTAAGCTCTTCAATATTTTTAATTAAATTAAAATATGGTTAAATATGTTTGAGATTCTCATAAATATTTCAAATTTCATTTTTAATCCTTTAAAAAAAATTCTTCAAAGAATGATCATCTTAATATTTTTCGTCTACACTTTTGGTTTCTTCTGTCAACGTCTATTAACAAAAGCTAACGTGGTACCCATGTGAAATATTTTTTTTATGACTGGGCATACATATGGCAGTGACAATGTGACAAATATGTCAACGTGGCATACCACGTCGCATAAGATCAACTTCATACTTCACATAGATTGCGGGGTTACAAGCCTCCTTATAATGTTCAAAACTGATATAACAAATATTGTAAACAAATGTTGCAGAAACCCCAACAAGACTGTCACCACCACCATCATCTTCAAATGATATCACTTCCATTACCAACATCAAATCAAATACAATGAGCATGAAGAAGGTCTGAATTTTATTGTATCACACGAAGAAGCAAATACAAACCCAACAAGTCACCGTAATCATGATAGCAATCATGTTTATCATTTATACATGTAGAAAATATTCGTTTATTTTCATTTGTGCATCAACTATTGGTTACGATAATTTTTCTTCTATTGATTTTTTCGGAATAAATAATTATAATGAAATAAAGTATTGGTCTAGTGGAGATTGGCATTAGACTTGGTAGGGAGGACCATAGTTCGACCCCCTCGCAACTACGATCAGGAGGAGTTGGAACCACTTTATGCCAGAATAGAACCCCGGTCAGATTAGTCGGTTCAGTGGACCGAATACTGGTGGTAAAAACAAAAAAAAAAGGTCTGGTATGAGCTTGTTTTGGGCAATGTAGACAAAATATGTTCAAAGTATTTAGTAAGGAGTTAAAGTGGATTAGGATATATGAACCTCGTGAAAGTTTGACTTGAGAAGAAACTATACAGTAAGATTTAAATCGAAATTATGATATTATTGGTATATTAATTACTTACATTGAAATTACGATAATTTGATATATTAACGCGACTATTGAATATCATTTTAGACAAAATTTGAGCTACTTGTACATGCCTTTTTTCAAGAAGAATGTTTGACTATTTGAAGTGTCGGACACATAAAATGGTTAGGACGTATGATTTTATATTAAGCATTGAAGCATAATGTTTAGTGTTATCAGCAACTTCTTTCAACCTCTCTAGCATTTTGGTAGCAAAGTACGCTTGTACATTATTCCATATGCACGCATTCTGATTCTCAAATTTTAAGTGAAAGATGAAGTAGCTGAAACTATTTTATCATACGTAAACACTTGGTACTGAGGCGTGGAACCCTTTAGAGCATCCTTAGGTTTTTCTTTCTCTTTGGTAGCATATGGATAACTTCCAACCCCGTTCCTTTTCTTTTTCCAGCATTTCTTTTAGCACATTGTTTCAAATATTCAACCTCTCTGGCTACAACTTCATATTTCTCTCTTTCTTAATTTGCTAATTCTTTGGCCATTCTTTCCTTAGAATAATCTTCTTCATTTTCATGGATTCTTCTAGTCTTATCTTATTTAGTTCATTCAACTGCACAAATGTTAGAACAGTGGTAAAGTGTCGGGTTTGTATTATCGTCTCCACAGGGAATATAAGATTTTGCCGCCGTTCAACAGTCGTTAAATTCGTAGTTTTATAATATCAAAGGGGTTTGGTTTTTCAAGTCGGTATCTTGAATTTAAAGTTATAAACAACGGTAAAAAATTAGGGTTTGTCGGTTTGAATAAACATTGCCAAAGTTAGGTTTCGATAATCACTTTGCATGCATAATTTCAATCAACATTTCATAAACTCTTTTTAATGATCAACACATTCACAATATCCTCTCAATATGATTATCTCTAACTCATATTGTGATGTTTACCA